ATAAATGAAAATGAAAACCAAAATGCCAGACTTCATGGGAGGCAGCAGACGTGCTACTCTGAGAGACATTTATAGGTTGAGATATCTATACCAAGAAAAGTCCAACAAATCAATAATCTAACCTTCTGCTTTAAGACTCTGGAGAAAGAAGAAGACACTAAAACTAAAGCCAGCACAGTCAAGGAGATAATAAAGACTGCAGCAGAAATGAATGAAGAAGAAAAACTCATATGATTCTTCACAGACTCTTGAAAACTAGAAAAGCAGATGATACTTCTTGACTGGTTCTCTGAGGTCAGTGTTACTGCCCTACCATCCTCAGATAAGAGAATCACAAAAAAACTATAACCAACATCGCTCATGATATGGATGCAAAATCAGCAAAACACTGCCAAACTGGATCTAGCAACGGACAAAAGATTTTAACACTGCAGGTACCGTAGTCTGGGTCTGAAATGTCCCCAGAAGCCCTTGTGCTGAAAGCCTGGTCTGCTGTAGTGCTGTGGGCAGTGCAGAAGCCTTAGGAGGTGTGTCTGGTGGGAGGAGTTAGGTCAGAGGCGTGCACCCTGGGGCATCGAGGTCCAGCCCTCTTCCTCCTTTCTTTGCTTCCTGGGAACCATGAGGTAAGCAATATCCCTGCCATTCACTCCCCACTATGAGGTGCTGCTTCACCACAGGCCCAAAGGCAGTAGGACCGAGTGACCATGGACAGAGAGCTTGCACCGAGCCAAAGTAAACCTTCCCTCTTTATGAGGTGATTAGCTTGTGTACTTGTCACACTAACACAATGGCCAAATGGGATATATCTATGGAACAAAAGATTGATTTAACATCTGAAAAATCGATTAGTGGAATAAAACAATTGATAGAGCCAGAAAAGATGCATGGCAAAGTCCAATGCTCATTCAAGAAGGGAAAATGTAGCAAGTGAGGAATAGGGGGAATCAGAACACAGTTATAGGACACAAGATACAAAATATACAAAAATCAATTGTACTTTACACACCTGTACTTACTTTATACATCTGTAATGCACAAGTCAAAAAAGTCACATTAAGGTAACAATTCTATGTACAGCAGTATCAAGGAAAAAATACATAGGCATGAATTTAACAAATGAATTGCAAAATTTATATTCTGAAAATTATAAAACATTATTTTTATTTTGTTAAAGCTGTAAATCAATGGAAAAAATCTCATATCCGTAGGCCAGAATTCTTAATTCTGTTAACGTGGCAGTATTGCCCAAGTCAATCTACACAACTCTCCAGTTCCTATTAGGAGCCAGCTAACTTTGTAGAAATTGTCAAGTTCATTTTCAAATTAATGTGGGATTGCAAGGGCACCAGAATGAACAAAACACACAAGAAGGAGGAAAAGGAGGAGGGGAAATTGAGCAACTCACAACTCCAAATTATCACATTTATGACAAAGCTGTAGTGGCCAAGACTGTATGGTACTGGCATATAAATAAAGAGATCAATGGAATAAAATGGAGAGGCTGTAAATAAACCCACATATCTACCACCCATAAATCCAATAATGATGCAAAGACCTTTTAATAGGGAGGAATTAGTCTCTGACAAATGGTGTTGGGACAACTGGATGTGAAAGAGTGAAACTGGGCTGGGAGTGAGGCTCAGTGGTAGAGTTCTTGTCTTGCATGCGCAAGGCCCTGAGCTCAATCTCCAGTACCACAAAAGAAAGAAAGAAAGAAACTAGACCCTACCTCACACCATGTGCAAAAACTAACTCAAATGGACCTGAGACTTAAATATAAGCACCACATGCCCCGCTGGAGGCGCCTGCAGGAGTCATCATGAGCCACCCTGAATCCTAAACACGAGCTCATGCTTATCGACTGGGCACTGCCCCAGGACTCGTGTTTCTGTGTGTCTGCATGTGGCGGGTGTTTTATGTGTGTGTGGGCATGTGTTTGTGCCCACATGTGTAGTATGGGTGTATATCTGTGTTTATATGCATGTACATCTGTGTGTATGTTCTATGTGCGTGGTGTGGGTGTCTGTGTGTCTATGTATGTACATCTGTGTGGTTGCATGGTGTGTGTGTGTGTGTGTGTGTGTGTGTGCCTGTGCATCTCTGTGGGGTATGGGGTGTCTGTGTGTAGGAATGCGAAGACAAATGCCACGGGTCCCCACCTCCCAGGCCAGTAGGGAGGAGAAGGGGTGGGGGGGCGGCTGCACGCCAGGAAGGCGGCCTCCCCTCTTCCTCCAATCCTCCTCCCTAGAAGCAGAATCACCAGGACAACCTTATGCCACCCAGGGTGACCCACACTCTGCCTGCACACGGCCAGTGCCTTATCTCATTACCCAGCAAGGCAGCAAGGCAAGCACTCTCCTTCCCGGGTGCAGAGGGCTTTGACAGATGCCTGCTGGGCACGTCGCGATCAGCCTACCCTCTGCACGCGCTGCTCTCGGGAACATCACAAAGGAAAATCAGGGCAACCAACATGTAGAGACAAAGCACTACTGACCTTGGGTGGAAGGCTGGGAACCTTCAAGGTCACGACGATGGAAAACTCCTCGGGAAAGAGGTCGCATCTGGAGAAAATCCTCGAGGCAGGGAAACTCACTGTGCGGGGCGCGGCAGCCGAGAGCTGCAGGCCCCGCACGCCCTGCGCCTGTGTCATCTTGATTTTGCCCACGGCGCCATTCACAGGGACCACCTCTGCCAGGATGTCCAGGGGACGCAGGTCTGTGTCAAAGACAGCACAGGTGGGTTAGGCAGGGCAGCGGGGAGGTGACGGCCTGGGACGGGACGCCTATGCGGCGGTCTGTCCTGGGCATCTCCTGCGTTTCAGTGTGAAAGCTGATCCAGCGACCATGTCGGCCCTCACTAACAGTGATGGCTAATACAGCCAGAAGGACACAGAAGAGGGGACGACACACGCGTGCCTGGCGACAACAACGGCACTACAGATGGGCAGCACGGCTGCGGCCTCCTTGCACAGGAGCTGCTTCTCCGAGGATGTCTGCCCCGGGCTGGTTCCGCCCTGCGATTGGTCCTGCTTCTCACCACCCTCTGCAGCCCTCCTTGTACCTGGACAGATCCCTTGCTCCCCTCCCCGAGTCCGCTGCAGGGGACCCTGCCCAAGCGCATGCCCAAGCCCATGTGCTCTGCTGGTGGTGCCCGCAGGGGTGTTGGGACGACAGTCAGCACCCTTTCAGGGCAGGTCGCTGAGGGGTCAGCACGCCCACGAGAGTCGGGGTGGCAGTGGGGCCTGGGCCTGAAGCACACAGCGTCCCTTGCAGGGCTGCAGCCTGCCCTGGTGGCAGGTGTGCCTGGAGGCCCTGTCCGTGCTGCACTGCCCAGCGCCCCAGGCACTCTGTCCCTTGGGAGAGCAGTGGCCTGCCAGCTGCCAGGGCTGCTCCCTGGGGCGCTGCTGCAGGGGAGCAAGCAGAGAGGCGGCAGCAGGCAGGAGGCAGAGCCCAAAGAGAGGCTGGGGCAGAGCCTCGAGAGCCCTTTTTCCTCCATCAAATCAAAGAACTGCAGACCAGGTCCCCCGAGGAGAGGGAGGGGCTGCTGGGCAGAGGTTGACACAGAAACGAGGGATTTGTGAGGACTCAGGGTCGCCCCCAAACCCTGGGCCACGGCAGAGGGAAAAACAGCGACATCCCGGAACCAGACAAGCCCGCGTCCTTGTTCTGGCCACAGCCCGCTGTGGGATTCGCCCTGACACAATAACTACAGCTCACGGCCAGAAAACGCGGGCCGGGCCCAAAGGAGGGGCGTTAGCAGAAACAGCGCTCTGCTCAAGCGTCCAGATCCCGAAGGACCGGGGAAGGCTGGGGGCTTGCGGCTGGCAAACACTGGAGGGACCGCGGCGCAGTGCCCGTGGGGTCCTCCAGGGGGCGCTGCGTCAGAGCTGAATCCTGCCTCAGTGGATCACCCTGGATCTGGCAACAGACCATGAGTACGTCCTGGACAACACCATGGAAAAAAAGAAAAAAGATGAAAAGCAAAAGTGAAAAAAAAAACCCACCATGAGAAGCCATGTGGGCTCTCATGGGCACTTACCACCACTCCAACAATGGTAATTTGGTAAAATGTGAAAGGTCACCCCATGCACTGAAGCCATGTCTACACACGCATGTGCTTTGGGACCCACATCCTGCAGCCCTGGTTCCTGTCCTCACCAGCTCTGGACTGGAGTCCGTGGGCAGGTAACAGCCACACACTGAGCTGTCTTCCCCCAGAGCACATGAGTGCTCCCCTGACCCCAGTGTCTGTAAGGTGACCTTGGGGACAGGGCCGTGCAGAGGATCGGGTCAAACGAGGCGTGGGCGGGCTCTGGTCCGGCCTGACTGTCCTTAGGAGGCGCAACTCAGACACAGTGACACAGGGCAGAGACCGAGTGGAGACGGAGGCCCATATGAGCCAGGGACAGTGGCAGTGGCCGTGACACCAGGAGCCAGGACAGGCCCTCCCTCAGCCACGAGGGGACTGCTGCCCTGACCCCTGAACTTGGACTTCTGACCTCCAGGCTGAGGCTGGAGTTCGTTCAACTTGACACACAAGCACACGACCCACACGACTTGCACTCAGAAACCACGTAAGCGTCCTTCTCTGCCCTGGGCAGGACCCGGGTCAGCAGCCCAGGAAGCAAAGCTGGCAGAGACCACGGGCCACGTGCTCCTGTGCCCAGCACCCGCAGTCATGGGGGAGGGGAGGGGAGGTTGGCCCAATAGCACTGTGTAGAAACCCACAGGTCCCACAGCTTCCCCTGATTTGCTCTCAGACAAAAAGTTAGGACCCCCACGCTGCCCCAGTCCTCTCTGGGGTTGTGATCTCAGCGACAAGACAGGCCACAGAGTGATGGCTGCTGTTTGCCTCCAGGAAGCAGCTGGGAACACACAAGGAAGGAGGAAGGAGGAAGGAGGAAGTTGTGGGGCCTGAACAAGGACAGGACAGTGCCACCAGGGAGGAGGATAAAAGGCCCAGAGACTTCTGCTTCACACACTCACACTCACTCACTCACACTCACACACTCACACCTCCCCAGCCCGACCCCGCCATGGCCGCCTCCACCATGTCCGTCTGCTCCAGTGCTTGCACCGAGCCCTGGCAGGTGGACGACTGCCCAGAGAGCTGCTGCGAGCCCCCCTGCTGTGAGCCCAGCTGCTGCCAGCCCAGCTGCTGCCAGCCCAGCTGCTGCACCTCAGCCCCCTGCCTGAGCCTCATCTGCACCCCATGCTGCCAGTCAGGCTGCACCAGCTCCTGCACGCCCACGTGCTGCCAGCAGTCCAGCTGCCAGCCGGCTTGCTGCTCCTCCTCCTGCCAGCCATCCTGCTGCGTGCCGGCTTGTTGCACACCTGTCTGCTGCACACCTGTCTGCTGCAAGCCTGTCTGCTGCACACCTGTCTGCTGCAAGCCTGTCTGCTGCACGCCTTCCTGCTCCGGTGCCTCCTCCTCCTGCTGCCAGCAATCTAGCTGCCAGCCGGCTTGCTGCTCCTCCTGCTCCCCCTGCCAACCATCCTGCTGCACACCTGTCTGCTGCACACCTGTGTGCTGCAAGCCCATCTGCTGCACGCCCTCCTGCTCCTCCGTGTCCCTGCTCTGCCGCCCCGTGTGCAGACCCTCCTGCTGTGTGCCCACCTCCTCCTGCTGCACCTCCTTCTGCCAGCCCAGCTGCTGCTGCCCGGCCTCCTCCGTGTCCCTGCTCTGCCGCCCTGCCTGCTCCCGCCCGGCCTGCTGCAAGCTCTCCTTGGGCCAGAAGTCCTGCTGTTGATTTGCTAACTGACCTTCAGGTCAGCAGGCTCGGGTTCCCCCTAGAAGCTGGCAGCCATGTCTGCACTGCTGTCACGCTTACACCCTGTCCTGGTGTTGCTTGTCCAGCCTGCTGTGGGCTGAAGGATCCTGAGAGGTTAAAGGTCTGTGCTTAGTGCCGCTGCCCTTGTAAGGGATTCTAATATCCCGCGGCAGTGCTCACCCTCCTTCACCCACCTCCTTGTGTATTTGAGCAAACTGATCAATAAAGGCCCTTGACTGAACTCGCCCTGGGTTCCTGTCCCTAGCTGTGTCCCCAGCTGGACCACATGGCCACATTTTCTCCCTTTTTACACTGCGCTGTGCTTCCTCAGGGTCCTGTGTGCCACCCTGCTCCCAGGGCAGCACGGCTCCCGGTTTGGACTGACGGCAGAGGGTGCACGTGGGCTTTGCAGGCCTTTGCCCCTCTGAGATCATTGTGCCTTTGCCATTGTCCACATCACAGCTCTGGTCACTTTGCCTTTGTAACTCCCCTCTCACATGCTGCCTGCCACCCATGAGCAGCACCTTCCTCCAGCAGGAGCACATCCAGGTCGCCTGAAATCGTCCCGTGGGCTCTGCTGATGCCGCTGGTGCCACATGGGCAGTAGAGGCCAGGTGTCCTTGTCCACACCGCAGGAGCTCCATCTCCCTTGGCCTCTCTGAGTTCTGAGTTCTGCTGGGTCTGGATAATGAGAGCCTGTCAGCTCTCTGTGTGTGGCTGTTACAGCAGAGCAAGGACTTGGTGACTTGACGACCCTGGGGCCAACTGGAGGGGCTGGAGCAGGAAGTATGATGTTTCAAGAAGGCTTTGAGGGTTGTGTCTGGAATGAAGAAGTGCTGGGACTGCTGGAGAAGTCCTGTCCCCATCCCTGCCCTAGCAGGGAGCTCAGTGGCCACAGGGTGGGGGACGGTGCATGCCCAGTGCCTGCCCCACTGGTGACCTGGTTCCAGGCAGAAGGGAAGGCACTGCTTGCACCCAGGCACAGGTGGCCATCAGCCACACAACTCTGCTCCCTGTGCTTTGGACAGAGTTAAAAACAGTTTGGGAGGCCACAGACTGTGCTGCAGAGTCCCGGAGCCACTAGTGAGCCTCTCCCCTCCCAGCCTCTCCTAGGCCAGCCCTGCTCTGCAGAGGAGCAGGAAGTTTCTGGAATACCAGGGGAGTGCGACCCATGAGAAACCCAGCCTCGGAACCGACCCCACCAGCAGGCGGCTTGGGGCTCAGCTCACGAGCCCTGCTTTACAAATGTGGAACTCCCATGGGTAGTTCATCGATGAGAGCTGTCACCTGGGTTCTCACTGGCTTAACAACAGCACAGGGGGTGGTGCTGAGACCGCGGTGTCCCCAGATGCCATCCGTGCTAGAGGCTCATCCTTAGCATGGAGCTGCTTGGAGCTGGCAAACCTCCAGGAGGACCTTGTGGGAAGCCTCTTGCTATGTGAGGTGTGAGGGGTGGCAGCACCCCACGACGTCTCGCTCTGTCTCACCCCTCCACCCCCGTGAACACCTCCTCTGCAGTCCCGGTGATTTGCTGCCCTGGGGCCAGTGACCGCGACCTCACAAACCATGAACCAAAGAAGCCCGTTCTCTCTGGAAGCTGATTCTCCTGGGGTTTGTTACACAATAGGGAGCCAGCAGACACAAGTGGTGACTGGGACATAAAACCACACTGTGCCCAAGGCCAGCTTGACCCCTTGAAGACTTGGCGATGGTCACCAGGGACCAGCAAGAGTGCCCCAAAGACCCATACCCTCTGCTTCCCCAGGCCTGACCCCCGCCCCTCATCCCAGCCGGTCCTTTAATCAGGGCTGACTCTGACTCTGAAGGCTGCTATCACCACATGGAGCATTCACCTCACTTGTGTCTGGACTCCCGTCTTCCCATCTCGTTGCTCAAGATGACGTCATTCAACACATTTAAACTGGGGATAGTTGAGGGCCCACGACGAAGCACCTTTCATCTGGCTTTAGACTCTATGTGGCCCCTCTGGTCCTAAGTTCCCCTTCCATGCAGTCATGAGGACATGTGGGCAGTGGGGAGTCCAGTCAGGCTCCTCCCACCCATGCTCACCCACCTCCTGGACTCTGTCTCCAGCCTGGTCTCAACCCACCCCATAGAGCTTTTAAGTGGGATCCACCCATTTACCACAGAGTCTGTGGAGGCAGAGCACACTGTCTTGGGTGGGACCGGGGCTGTGACATTTGTCGTGGAGACCAGAGGCCTGAGGAGCTGGGCTGAGGTCATGTGTCCTTATGGAGGACCCTGGGCAGCAGGTGTCTCGGGTGGCTGTGGGCTGGTGGAAGTGGATTCTGTGGGGGATGCATCACCATCCCAGATTCCTGGGGAACGTATCACTTCTGAAGGGCCAGGAGGTGTTTGGGTTCCGGATCCCCAGACAGGGGGCCTCTCTGACCCGCAGACGCATCAGAGTGATCTCATGAGAGTCACGCCCTGTGCAAACACTAATCCTACCCTGCAATCAAGGCTTGAGTCTGCTCCCCGATCCCCAGAAACAAGCACAGTAGCCCTGGGAGGCCCAAGCTGTTTCCAGGGAAAGTGGGAGGGGAATTGGTGCTCATTTGTGGGGAGAAATTTGGTACCACTCCGGGCCCTGGTGACTGGGCGTAGGATGAGGACACTGCAGCCCACGACCAAGGCATGAAGCAAACCAGCCAGCAGGGGCAGTCAGAGGAATCAGCAACAGAAGAGCAGAGACAGTCATGGTGACGCACAGGGAGCTGGAAGGAAATGGGAGAAGTGCTGGACTCTGCTGCTCTTCCCCACACAGGCTGTGGGCTTGCTGATCCCATCCCCTTCCCCTACCATGGGCTGGGACACCTTGCTTCGGCCCCTTTCCTGTGCCCTCCATCGGGCCCAGACGACTTGCTTCGATGTCCTCCCTGGAGGTCTAGAGGTCACTCTTCCCTACTCCACTCCAACATGGTGCAGCCTGACTGCTAGCCTGGCTTCTCCCCCCGGCATCCGACATCATCTGCTGTCAATAGGACTGCTAGCAGAGCTGCATTTTGCCGACTCACAATTTCCATCTGAATCAAGCAAAAGAACCCTAGGTGGATTGGCAACAAGAGAAAACAGGAACTTAAAGAGGAGAGGGTGGGGAACCAAGTGGAGCTGAGGCACAGAACACAGCAATCAAAATTAAGATGAACTTCAAGATGACACAACACAGGAGTCAATGTCCACCGAAGATGCCGCAGCTATCCAAACCAAAGGACAGTCGGAAAATAAAGCACTTAAAAGAGTTGTCAGAGCACTGGGGCCTAGGGCACATACAGAACACATAGGTGTTGAGGCAGACATGCGCATGGGGCCCAGACAAACGAGGATGAGGGCAGGAGAAACACTTAAAGGTAAGATGATCAGGCATTTGTCACCGGATTTGATACCCTTGGGGTTTTTTTGTTTGTTTTATTTTGGTCACTTTCCAGGCACGGGCACAAAACACTCAACTACAAGTTAATGGAGGCGGGGTTTAATTTGACTCCGGATTTCAGGGACTTCAGGCCATGGCCTGCTGGCTCCAAGGTGGAACATCATGGTGGAAGGGTGTGGTGGGGGAAAGCTGCTCACCTCTTGGCAGTGCAGAAGCACCTTTGTTTTAAAACCCAAATATGTGAATAGTCTGCAGTGTTCCTTCTGCTTCTGTAAACAGGCTTGCTAGCCACAAGAGACACCGGACGTACAAGCTGCACCTGGCCCATTTCTGTTTCCAGTTTGCTCCTGTATTTGTAAAGTTCCACTCATTCACAAAAGAACACCACCTTACCCAATAAATGGTATAAAAGTAGTTTCCTATACTAGCTCGGGGCTCAGACTTTGGAGTACACAGCTCCTCCGAGCCCACTGCTGTAATAAGGCTTGGATCCCTTCACTTCTGAGTGCTGCTTTATTTCTTCACCTCCAATAAACCTAAAATTGCAATAACAGCAGCAGGAAGCACAGAGAGAAGGGAGGAGCCGGCAACAGGCCTCCTCACAGCACGTTCAGTTACCGAGCTCATCAAGGGATGAATCCGCTGAAGAACACAACGCCTCAACGATACAGTCACCATCCCAAAGCCCCTGAACACATGAAACTTCTGGGGACATTCTAGAACTAAGCCATAACAATTGGTACGTGGGGCTGGGGATTTAGCTCAGTGGCACAGCGCCTGCCTGGCAAGCGCAAGGTCATGAGTTCGATTCCCAGTACCAGAAAACAAAACAATTGGTACGTGTATGGAAAAACCATGATAGGCCAACCTGTGAATGCACACTTGCATGATATTCCACGTACAAGATCAGAGAGCACGTTCTGTTGAGTGTGCACAAAAATAAATCACCAGCTAAGCCTTAAAGCAAACTGCAGCACATTCAAGAGGACTTAAACAGAGTATGATGTTTCTCCACAACAAACTGAGAAATCAGTAACAGAAAGATATTTGGGGAATCACCACATCTTTGGAAACCAAACAGTACGTTTAAAAATAACCTGTGATTCTGAGAAATCACAATGGAAACCCAGAAATATTTTGAACAAAATGAAAGTAGAATCATCACATTTTGAAATTTGTGGGACAAAAGTAACACAGTGCTGAGAAGAACACATACAGCTTTAATTGCTTCTCCTGGTAAAAAGGGAAGGCCTAGGGTCAACAGTCAAGGTATCTATAGTAAGAAGGGGTCAAAGAGCACAGGCTGTGCCCCCAAATAAACAGATAGAAGGAAATAACCAGAGCTACCAAACAGAAAATGGACACGGTGAATGGAACCCAATCTAGAATTTTGGAAAAAAAAGACCAGTAAGATGGGCAATTTTCCAGATTTACCAGTGATGAACAAGAAGGAAGAAATAGTTTACCAATACCAGGAATGAAGAAAGGGTCACCTCTCCCCACTCTATGGGCACTAAGAAGACAACAGAAAACACCACAAACAACTTCATGCCCATACATTCAGCAGCTTCAGTGAAACAGGTATATAACTGGGAAGATACAAAGGATAAAAACTCATAGAAGGAAAAAAGAAAATCTGCATAGATCTCTGTCAGTGGAAAAGGTTCGACCTATAATTAAAACCCTTATCACAAAGAACACGCCGGTCTCAAATGGCTGTGCTGTTGCGTCCTGAGTGTTTATTGAAGAAATAACTTAGGGTCATCCAAGCTGTTTCAGAAAACAGTAGAGGAAGGAAACCTTCCCACCTTCTTCCAAGACCAGCACATCCAGTACAAAAGGAACACAGGAGAAAAGGGAACTGCAGACCTGTGTGTCTTGTGAACAGAGATGAAGTTCTTAACAGAACATCAGCAAATTGACTCCAGCGCTGAGCAGAAAGGGTAATGCTCAAGGCTACGTGGGTTTTATGTCTGCAGTGTGAGGTTGGCTTAACATTAAAAAGTGCATCAATGTGCCTTACTTACTATTTTAATAAATAAAAAGAAAAAGCACTGTGATCATTTTCCCAGATGCAAAAAGGGCATTTGATAAAAATTCAACATCTGTGAATAGCAGCACAGTTTGTAATAGCTAAATCTTGGGAACAGCCCAAATGCCCATCAACTGAGCATGGATAGAGAGGTTTGTTTTTTAATACAGTAGAGTACTACTCAGTCATAAAGAAGGATAAACTAGAGACATATCTTGCTAAATGGATGCACCTTGAGACCATACTCTGAAGGGAAATAAATCAGACACGTGTAAATATCACACTGTCTCTCTGGTGTGAGAAGGGAAACTGTAAATAAGCACCAAAATGTATAATGGATACTGTGAAATAGGAAGAAAATGTTCAAATGGGAAGGGAAACTAGAGAAAGGGGCGGAGGAAAGGAAGGAAAGGAAAAGAAAGAAATGAGAAAAGAAGGAAAAAATGGACACTACTTTTGTAAATAAGGAGGAGAAAAGGGGTTGAAGGGAGGGGAAGGGAATGGGAAAAAAGGAGGAATCAAGATATATCATGTACAGGTACAAATTCCCTATGAATGTGATTTTATGTATATCTAAGTTGTAACAACAAACTTAATAAAAATTAAACCCCAGAAAACCAGAAATAAAAGGGAACTTCTATTACTCTATGATGAAAGACTCTCCCCAAGACCAGAACAGGCAGAAATATCTGCCCGCCATTTCTATTCCCCATGGTATCCTGGTCCTTAACACCACAATACAGCAAGAAAAGACACAAAAGCTCTGTGGATGTGAATGGAAAAAGATTCAGTCAACGTGATTCTGGGCTAAGAAAATCCCAAGGAATAGACAGGAAGGCTGCTGGGATTCATAAATGAACTGAGCAACTTACAGACACAAGGTCAGACACAGACCCAGTGGACTTGTGCATGGTAGCCATCAACAGTTGGAAATAAACAAAGCATTAACTAAAACATTAAAAAGGAAGTAATAGACAAAACATGTACAAGGTCAATATACTAAACATGAAAAAATATTGCAGAAAAACATTAAAGAAATCCTAAGTGACTGGAGAGATAGATGAGTATCGTGGTCATGGGTTGGAAGATGAAACTGTGTTCAATTCTTCCCAAAATGATCTACAGATTTAACGTAATCTCAGTCAAATCCCAATGAGCTTTTCTGTCAAAATCAGTGAGGTGATTAAAAAAAAATCTATGGGGAAGTATAAAGGGGCCAAAACAGTCAAATAATTTTGAAGAAGAAAAACAGAATTGGAGAATTTGTATTCTTTGATTTTAAGATTTAATGAAAATCCACACGGAGGGAGACAGCTTGTGCTGTGGGATAGAGGAACAGAATGGAATAGAGCCCCCGAGATGGACCACACGCCCCGCACACCCACCCCACACACTCATCCCACAGCCCAGCGGCTGAGGCTATCCACGGGTGAAGGGCCGTCACAGCTCACCCAGGGCTACGCCAGAAGCACTGAAAGCAAGCTAGCAGACAGTGACACTGGAAACACCTGACGTCGGCTTGAAGAGACCTGCGTGGCCTTGGCCCGAGCAGAAATTTTTTAGATAGGGTCCCTGAAGAGAACGGGATAAGCAGGACCTCGAAAAATGTACATTTCAGTCTCCAACACTGTTGGGAAAGCAAAGAGCCGGGCCAGTGAAGGGGAGGGGAGACACATGCTGACATGTGACAGCTGCTGGCATGCAGACCACATGGAGGGTGTTGTCACACCTTAACAGGGCCTCAAGCAGCCTGACTTAAGAACAGCGGGCGGAGGGTTTGAGCGACACCCGAGAAGACACGCGAGCGGCTCCAAGCCCGTGAGGAGGGACTCCGCATACCGCGTCCTCATAGCGCACGCGACACTGTGCTCGGTGCCCCTGCTCAGCCGGAGACGCACGGCCCTGGTGTGATGAAGCAGCCGGATCACTGCAGCTCCCACCCACCACGCATGGGCCCAGGGAGCAGCACCGCTGTTTGGAAACCACTTGGGGTTCACTGGGAGTTAAACACGCGTAGACCCCGACCCGGCAGTGCCACCCCTCTTGTCCGTCCCAGAGAACCGCAAACACTGGCTCACACACCATCCCGAGCACCGGCACTCAGAGAGCTGAACTACCAGCCCGCTGGAGACCACGCCCGACAGAGGTGGGACACGCAACCAGAACAAAAGGGACACTCAGGTCTCCAGAGAAAAGGCAGAGCGGAGACTGTCGGGGCTCCTTGGCTGGGGGACTCGAGGCACTGAGGCCTGGTGATGTGTGACTGCTTGGCGAGCAGAGGCCGCAGGATGCAGACTGCCTTCAAGCCACAGCCAGCCCGAGGGTAAAGCAGGCACCTTGATTATACACATGAGGACCTTGATGGAGGCAACCCTAAACCAGTATGGGAGAGAGGAGAGGGAGAAGTCTTGCCCGGGACACCGGGCGCTGGGGAGGGCTTGGGGTGGGAAGCGTGGGGCGGGCAGGCACCAGCAGGGGGCAGCAGGGCTCTCCCGTCAGGGCATCCACAGGGACACCTCCGGAAGCCCAGGGATAGGCTGAGCAGGACCAAGTCCTTCTGGACATGGGGTCCTAGGTAACCACTAGGAGAGTGAGCCACTGTCCCTTGTGACTTCTCAGCTAAGTCCCTAGCTCCTAGGAGTATCCATGGTTGGAGGAGACCCGGGGCTGCCCAGACCGTGTGTCCCCAGGAACACGAGAGGCGGAGAATCGGGTGACGGGAAGTTTATTGACACTGTGAGGAGCTGACAGGGGGAGGTTCAGGGCAGGTTTCAGCAGAGGACCCGGAGGGAGGGGTCAGGGCAGCACAGTGGATAGGGTGGGGAGGCCCTGTCCTCAGGGGAAGGGCATCTGCTAATGCAGGTCAGGACCAGGCTGAGGGGTGCAGTGAGGGCCCTGGCCTTGGGTGACCTGAGCCTGCCGGCCCTGGGGGATGAGGACAGTCAGCAGCAGGACTTCTGGCCCAAGGAGAGGCCACAGCAGGCCGGGCGGGAGCAGGCGGGGCGGCAGAGCAGGGACATGCAGGAGGATGGGCGGCAGCAGCTGGGCTGGCAGGAGGAGGTGCAGCAGGAGGAGGCTGGCACACAGCAGGTGGGTCTGCACACGGGGCGGCAGAGCAGGGACACGGAGGAGCAGGAGGGCGTGCAGCAGACAGGCTTGTAGCAGACAGGTGTACAGCAGACAGGCTTGCAGCACACAGGTGTGCAGCAGGCAGGTGTGCAGCAGGATGACTGGCAGGGAGAGCAAGAGCAGCAAGCCGGCTGGCAGCAGGAGGAGGAGGTGCCTGAGCAGGTGGGTGTGCAGCAGACAGGCGTGCAGCAAACAGGTGTGCAGCAGACAGGCTTGCAGCAGACAGGTGTGCAGCAAGCTGGCACGCAGCAGGATGGCTGGCAGGAGGAGGAGCAGCAAGCCGGCTGGCAGCTGGACTGCTGGCAGCACGTGGGCGTGCAGGAGCTGGTGCAGCCTGACTGGCAGCATGGGGTGCAGATGAGGCTCAGGCAGGGGGCTGAGGTGCAGCAGCTGGGCTGGCAGCAGCTGGGCTCACAGCAGGAGGGCTCGCAGCAGCTCTCTGGGCAGTCGTCCATCTGCCAGGGCTCGGTGCAAGCGCTGGAGCAGACGGACATGGTGGAGGCGGCCATGGCGGGGTCGGGTTGGTGAGGAGTGAGTGAGTGTGTGAGTGAGTGAGTTGTGTGTGTGTAGATGCTGGGCTCCAGGCGTGCAGTCTTTTATATTCAGCCTGGCCATGTTCCTGCACGCAGTGTGACAGCTTCCTTCCTTGTTTGGGTGCGAGCCTGAGAGCGCTTGTTGTGCCGTGTGTTTATTGGTGTCACGTTTGGTGCTGAGTGTCACTCATGCTGTCCATTCCCAAGCACACCAGAGTCTGTGGCTGCATCCCTCTCCAGGCTGTGCCATGATGTGTGCTTCAGCTACAGCACCCAGAGGACTCTGGAATGTACACTGAGCTAAAGCACATGACCGCAGGGACACTTAGAGGTGGGGGTGGGGTGGCGTGGTCCTCGTTCTGTCTCGGTAGTAACAGCAGCAAAGCGTATGCTGAGCTTGAGCTCGTGCACGTGTTTCCAAGGTGACCACAGAAGGAACAGCAAAAATCTGCTTGTCAGAAATTAGATTTAAAGAATCAAGTATTCCAGTGGAAAAAATAGAGTTAACATAGAGTTAACCAAAGTTAACATAACCAAAGTTAATCTGGATACAAATAGGATCACACGATGATTGGAAGAGAGAGGTTCTGTGTGTGATGGACAGGAAGGGTGGCGTGGTAGGACCTTGCAGTGATTACGTCCAACTAAACAGCTGGGGTGACTGAGAGGTTAGAGAACGTAGACTTCAGCAAAAAGAGCAGTGAGAGAAGATGGCATTTCATGATGTTAGAAAGATCAGGCCACGCGTGATGACTCTAACCTCACGTGTACCTAGTAACCACGGAGAACATGAAAGAAAAGCTTGGCACAGCTGAAGTGGAAGGAGGGCTGGTGAAGTCACATCGGCGATGAAACCATCGTCAGAGTGGGGAAGGCTGTGTCGAGTCTGGAGTAAAAATATGGAAAACATAAAACACCAACAGGTAAACCTAATTACATAAAAGGGGAAAACACATAATAAACACAGTCCAAAGAGACACGGTCAGAAACACGTGTGGTGCTTCACCTTGTCCTCAAAGAGTGAACGTAAATTTTGACAACATAACCGAAGATGAGCTCAGTGTACAGACAGAAGTGACGGAGATGGGTGTTTCTGAAGCAGGAGACGGGCTCAGACCCTCCAGGCAACAGGAGACCAATGCACCCATCACGCCAAACCATTTTTTTCACACACCAAACCAGAAAGGCAGGAGCGTTGCTGCCGCAGATGGGTCTGCAGGTGCCCCTCTGCAGCAGGGTGCAGGGCTTGCATGAACTCAGCGGGGTCCTCCTTGGCACTTCATACCCTCACTGGGCATGCGTGTACCACCCAGGATGCTCTGTCTTGAAGGAACACAGGGGGGTGGATGATGTTACACTGGGTGGCCCTCTGGGGAGGACTCTCCCTTGGGGTGGTGAGGACCCATGCAGTGGGCAGCCTCAGGAGGGGCCGCCTGGGAGGATGAGGGGCTGCCTGGGAGGACACAGGGCAGCCTCCCATCAGCAGCCATGAGAACTGAGGCACACAGTCTGCCAGCCTGCAGGGAGTCATGAGGCCTCCCCAGTGGAAACTTCAGATGAGGCCGTGGGAGCTGGGAGGGGACACAGGTGACAGGCAGCAGAAAGGTCCTCACATAGTCACAGGAAAGGAGCTCCTGCTCCATTAAGTTTAAAATAAACAAGGTGGGCAGAGCATGAAAATTCATGTTTTAAAGATTTGTACACACAGAGGAGAAAAAATGGCAGATGGGCAGGAAAATACAGCCTCTCCTGGACCCCAAACCCAGACACCTGGAAAACAGCAACTTGGTGAAGAGAAAAAGAGAGGTAGATCTCCAGGAACTGGGAGGGAGCTGACGGGGGAACTAGAAACTCCAGAGAAGAGGGAGAAATGGAGTAGAGCGCCCTGACAGGGAGCCAGCCTCTGCAAAGCTCGTCCGCTCCTGCAGAGGCGAGCCTGGGTCTGCAGGTGCAAGCTAAGCCCAGAGGGGATCGGCAGCTCAAGAAAAACAACAGACTGGGCCAGCAGCACTGCCCTCAAGAAAAGTCCACCACGAAAGTGACCTGAGAGCAACTCCTTCCACACGGCAGGCTGGGTTTGGGGAAGAAATGCAGCACAGCAGCCACCACACTTGGGAGGACGGTTTAACCAGGGGCCACTTTGGGAAGGGGTTAATTGTGTAGACTGAGCCACAGAATAACCTCACTTCCAGGTTTCCAGGGTCACCCTACCAGAGACAGAGTGGAAGGTGGCCACAAGAGATGCATGGAGAGGGTGCAGGCTAGACAGCGGCCTGAGAATTTCAGCTCAGGCTGGGAAGGACACCGGGCCCAGCCTCCATGCTGAAAAGTCAGGTCTGGTGTTATAGCCTTCAGAGGTGGCTGAAAGTGCCGGCGTTAAACCCAGCAATGTGCTTGAACCACTGTCCTGCTGCCTATATCCGTGACGGACATCGGTGGTCTGGTTGCTCTCCCCTCCTATAAATGTGAGGAGGACACGCCACAGGTTGAACAACTGCCACAGCCTGAGGTGTAGGGCGGGTCATAAAGACGGGTGGAGAAAACTGTGACTTGCTGGATTTCAAGACTGAAGGTTCTGAAATGAAGCTGCTCTTTCAAAAGCACAGAGGAGTTTTGTTCTAGACTCATTTATTTTCTCTTCTTCATCAATTTTTTGGAGTTATTTCCTTGTTTGTTTTTTGTTCTGTTTTCCCTTTTCTTTTTTCCTCTTGTTTGTCCTTTTCTGCTTTTATGTAATTCTATTAATTTCATTTTACTCCCTGATGTGATTACTTCCCTCGCTTTCTTATCTCCTTATCTTTTCTGCAGAGGCAAGCCTGGGTCTTCTTGGGGGTGCTGGGAGCCCAGCTCAGGACCGCGCGCTTGCCAGTAGGTGCTGTGCCGCTCACTAAATCCCCAGCCCCTGCTCATCTTTCCTTTCTTTATCTTTCACATTCTTCAACTTTTACTTCTTTCATTCTCCTGTTTCCCACCTCATTACTGTTGAGCTTTATTGATCCTTAGATATTTAGTTAACTCCATGCTACCATATTTTTGAAGTTTTTACAGTTTATTAATCCTCTCATGAAAAAAGTCACAGTCACCACAGACAAACGCTGCAGAATCCTTACTGCTGCGGCTTTCCGCCAGCACCAGCGTTAGCCTTTGTGGTGGCCCTGACTCTCTTCCTGCTGTTCTTGCGTTCCTTCCGCTGCTTTCTTGAGGCCTGTTTCTTCTCACACAGGCCGTGTTGCAAGTCTATGTTTGGGCTCGTTTTTCTTCACATAATCCACGGAATCGTAAATCATGCCAAAGCCAGTGGTCTTGCCACCACTAAAATGGGTTCCGAACCCAAACACAAAAATGGCATCCGCCGCTGTCTTGTACATTTTGGCGACTTTTTCCCGAATTTCTGTCTTAGGTCCTGTTACTTTCCCAGGGTGAAGGACATCAATGACCGTTTGTTTCCTTTGAAGTAGTCGGTTGGTCATGAACTTCTGGGTTCAGGTAGTTAGTGTCATTCATGATGGCAGCAGATCCTCAGACAGCCAGGGAGGAAAAAGCTATGCTACTGTTGTTGAATTCTTTTTTATTGATAGTGATGGTACAGTTGTTGTATTTGGTAGATATTTCTTATGTGTCAGTATTTGGTTTGTCTTCATGTTTACATTATCATTGCAAATCTCTTCTATCAAGAGTGCTACAGTGATAGCTTTTATTAGTTCATATGGTGTGTTAATACCCAGTTTGTCTTGGACCCTATTATTATTTATGATTTTGTTGCTATTCCCATAATGGCATAGTTGTTGCCATTAATATTTCTTACCAATTAATTAGTTTTTGCCAATATATGGTTTGCTTCTGTGTCATCAACAATACTTTGCTGTTCATTTTTGGGAAACAGGGTGCTAGGCAAGCTACACTGCACCCTCCCCTCCCAGATTAATGGAGATGGTCAGATTTTGTGACGGGGGCATGTCACAGAAGAAGCCAAGGAAGAAAGGAGCAGTTTAGAGAATCAAATGACAATGCCAGTACAACACAGCAGAACTTATGGGACACAGTGACGGCAGTCCTAAAAGGGAAGTTTATAGCTGTGAATGTCCACGTCAGAAAAACAAAGAGAGTCCAAATAAATAACTCAATGATGCACCTCAAATGGTTAGAAAAACAAGATCCACCCAAGTCCAAAGCTAGTACAGGAAGGGAATTCTAAAGATCAGAGCAAACGTTAATGGAACTGAGACTGAAAAAGAAATACAAAGAATCAATGAACCAAAGAGCTCATTCTTTGAAAGATAAACAAAACAGACAAACCCTTACCCAATCGTACCAAAAAGAAAAGACACGAATCAATGCAATTACAAGTGAAAGAGGTGAAATCACAATGGACACCACTGAAATCCATAAGATTATTAGCAACTGTGTCACAAAACTGTGTGCCAATAAATTGGAGAACTCAGAAGAAATGGATAGATTACTAGATACACATGAAGCACCAAAACTAAAACAAGAAGATGCAAAAATCCAGAATAATTTAATAACAGGTAATGAAACTGAAGTAGTAATTTAAAAAGCTAGCAGCTAAGAAAAGTCAATAGATTCACCACTAAATTTTACAAGAACTTCAGGGAACTTCTAATGCCAATATTCCCCAGACTCTTTTTTTTTTTTGTGCTGGAAATTGAACTCAGGACTTTGTGCTTGCCAAGCAGGCGGCTTGTGCCTCTGAGCTATATCCCCAGCCCTTCCTCAGACTCTTTAATGAATTCCAAAGGGAAGGAGTACTCTTAAAGTCATCCTTGGAAGCTATCATTACCCTGATTGTAAAACCAGACAAGGTTCCAACCAAAAAAGAGAACTGTAGGCTAATCTCTTTCATGAATATAGATACAAAAATCTCAACCAGACACTGGAAAATAGAATGTAACACATCATCAAAAAGACTACGCACCCCTCCAAAAAATCGTACTTTATGACAAAGTAGGTTTCGTCCCAGGGATGCAAGGATGGTTCAACAAATGCTAATCAATAAATACAATACATCACATAAACAGAAGCAAGGACAAACATAACATGATCATCTCATTAGATTTAGGAAAAACCTTTGATAAAAATCCTGAAGGAAATAGGTACAGAATCACCTCATCTCCATCTGGTAAAAGCTATTCTGACAAACATATTCTCAGCATTGCATTAAATATGGAAAAGCCAGTTGCTTTCCCTGTAAAATTAGGAACAAGGCAAGGGTGTCCACTATCACCTCTGCTGTTCAATATAACATTTGAAACATTAGCCAGGCCAGTCAGGCAAGAGAAAGACATAAAAAGGATGTGCATAGGAAAGTAAGAAGTCAAATTATCATTACTAGTGGGTGATATGATCCTCTGCATAGAAGACCCCCAAAATACCAACAGATTATTAAATTAATAATTAAATTCAGCAGTGTAGCAGGATACAAAATCAACTGACAGAAACCAATAGCATTTCTCAACACTAATAATGAACTTACCAAAAAATAAATTAGGAAAACTATACCACTTATAATATCATCAAGAAAAATTAATTATTTAGTAATTAACCTAAGTAAGGAAACAAAAGACCTGGGCAATGAAAGCTACAGTATTTTTGAGAGGAGAAAAAGAGGATTTCAGTCAATGGAAAGATATCCCCTGTTCCTGGGTAGGTACAACCAATATTGTCAGAATGGTGAGGCTACCAAACCTGATATATAGATTTAATGCAGTCTTAATGAAAATACCAACAGCATTCTCTCATAACCAGAGAAAACAATCCTAAAATTCATATAGAACCAGAAGAGACCCAGAATAGCTGGCCTTCAGAAAAATGCAAATTAAGACAACACTGAGATTCTATCTTACTTCAGAAAAAACGGCCATCACCAGGAAATCAACAAATGCTGGTAAAGCTAAGGGGGAAGAAGAGCCCTTCTACATTTGGTGGGTATGCAAACTCATACAACAAGTATGGAAATCAGTATAGAGATTCCTAAAAACACTAAAACTAGAAATTCTGTTTGACCCAGCTATTTGCCTTTGAGGTATCTTCCCAAAAGAGAAAGACATCATATTACGGAGATCCATGCACTCCCATATTTATAGCAGCACAACTCATAATAGCTAAATCTTGGAAGCAGCCTATATGTCCAGCAACAGATGAATGGACAAGGGAGATGTGATATTTACACACAATGGAAGACTACTTTGGCATAAGGCAGGATAAACTTGAGCTATCTGTGGGAAAATGGATGCACCTTAAGTCCATCAAGTTAAGTGAAGTAAATCAGACACACAAAGTGTAAATAAAATAAAGAGCTAGATAAAAGATACATAAAAGTAAACAGGCAGATGGAGCTTCTGCTAAAAGGAAAGGAAACAAGATATGCAGGGAGGGTAAGGAAGGAAAGGAGAAAGGGATGAAAAATGATTAAGACGTGTTGTGTACATGACCAACTCCCCACACGGAATATAATCATTACATACTGCAAATATGTAGTTATAAGAAGAAAAATCACAAAATAAATAAGGTTACTGAGGCTTTTTTCCTGTTTAGCCCATGGGCTCTCCTGGGGGAAGCTCAGCATACCCTTGGAATGAAGGCATCTTCTGTTGTGGTTGGAATGAATATCATTTGCATGTTCACTGCTTTTAGATTGTAGTTCAAGTCTTCTGCACTCTTGCTGGTCTAGTTGATCCATTAACATTGTGGATTAGGTATTAAAATGTTAAAAGCGACACACACAGAGACATACATGTGTGTTCACATATGTGTTACATGTATCCGTAGAAACACAGAGCGTGGAGGGGTAGATGGATGATAGATATTTACGGAGATGATAGATAGGTGTGGAGGTGGTGGTAGGTACGTGCTAGACAGATGACAGAAAGATAATCAATGCCTGGTGGAGAGATAATAGAAGCATAGGCACACAGATAAGTGGATAGAGACAGGTGATAGATGATCAACTGAGAGAGACAGCTGACGGATAAGTAGATGACAGTGGATGGATGCACGGTAAAGAGATGACAGATATAAACCTCGATGATGGGGGGTAAGTGGACAAGTGGGCAGATGGACAGACAGAAAACAGATACAGTGACCCTCACCATTCGTGGGTTCTGTGCCCATGATACAGTCTTCTGCCCAGGCACGTGGTCAGGGACAGAGGGCGAGGTGTCGAAGGAGGAGAGGTGTGCAGAGCCTGGGCAGGGCTCGGAGCACAGCCTCAGCCCCTTCCCGGCCACGTGGCCCTCAACTCTGGATTCTCCTCATCAAGTGACAAATACCCTGTGGTAAGCACAGGGTGGGGTCGCTGGGTGAAGGGTTAGGGCCCAGGGCAACACTTCCCCAGAGCCGCTTCCTGCAGAGGTCCTGGGGCTGCCTGTCCAGAGGAGGAATATGTTTCAGCAGCCCCAGACAGCTGAGGCACAATGCAGCATGTGACGACCCAGCCCTCAGCGCTCTCAGACCTGGATGGGCCCTGGCTGCCCGTTTCCTGCTCCTGGATGGACGCAGCAGGAGATTAACGAGCCAGACACACTGAAAACAAACATCCCTGATGACAGCAGTGCTGGGTCAACAACAAGGAAGGAGAGGCCGGGGACACGGGCACAGGGAGAGGATAAAAGCCCAGAGCCCACACCTCACACAGCACTCACACTCACTCACTCACTCACTCACTCACTCACTCACACCTCCCCAGCCCGACCCCGCCATGGCCGCCTCCACCATGTCCGTCTGCTCCAGTGCTTGCACCGAGCCCTGGCAGGTGGACGACTGCCCAGAGAGCTGCTGCGAGCCCCCCTGCTGTGAGCCCAGCTGCTGCCAGCCCAGCTGCTGCACCTCAGCCCCCTGCCTGAGCCTCATCTGCACCCCATGCTGCCAGTCAGGCTGCACCAGCTCCTGCACGCCCACGTGCTGCCAGCAGTCCAGCTGCCAGCCGTCCTGCTGTGTCCTTGCCTGCTGCAAGCCCGTCTGCTGCACACCTGTCTGCTGCAAGCCCGTCTGCTGCACGCCCATCTGCTCAGGCACCTCCTCCTCCTGCTGCCAGCAGCCTAGCTGCCAGCCAGCTTGCTGCTCCTCCCCCTGCCAGCCGTCCTGCTGTGTGCCTGTCTGCTGCACACCCGTCTGCTGCAAGCCTGTCTGCTGCACGCCCTCCTGCTCCTCCGTGTCCCTGCTCTGCCGCCCCGTGTGCAGACCCGCCTGCTGTGTGCCCGCCTCCTCCTGCTGCACCTCCTCCTGCCAGCCCAGCTGCTGCCAACCAGCCTCCTCCGTGTCCCTGCTCTGCCGCCCCGCCTGCCCCCGCCCGGCCTGCTGTGGCCTCTCCTTGGGCCAGAAGTCCAGCTGCTGAAGGAACTCTTGGAAGATCACTGCCCCCGTCCCCCTGGCCTCTTTACTATATCCTCACAGTGGCCACAGCCCCTTCTTCCAGGCCTTCCCGTGGGTGTGGTGGTCACTTGGGATCTACTCTAGGAACAGCCTCGTCTACGTGTGAAGTCCTCAGTCGTCAGTCCTGGCCCTCCCTGTGCTGTGGGCAGTGAGCCTCTGCCGCAGCTGGACGTTGCCTGGAGGCCTGGCTGCAGACAAGCCAGGCTGGGGACACTGATGGATCTGCTCTTCAGTGCTGTCCTTGAGGTCCAGAAGCGGTGTCTGTCATTGTCCTGGGGAGCCCAGCTCTTCTTCCGGGCTCTGAGCCTCTGCCCCCCAACTTTCTAATAAATCTCGCCCCTGGTGCCTCTGACCCGCTCATTCCTGTGCTCGTCCTTTGGCTGCCTAGTGGTCGCCAACCTGGCCAGCCCACGTGGCCACACCTTAACAGTGTCTTGGAAGCCTGCCATGCTGGCCATGGCATGCCCCTCAGAGGAACACAGGGCATTGTGAGCCCATGGCTTAGGGCGACTCTCTGGAGAGCCCGTTAGGCTGTGCAAGAAAGCAAGGTCACCCTTGGCTGGCACCTGGGAACTTGGATTTTAGAACAGACTCCTTGGGGACACCTCCTTCCCTCTGGCCAACTGGAGCTTGGGGACCTGCTGGCTGAGGTGCCTCCAGGACCAGCTCCTGAGAAAACCCTAGGTGCCCAGTCCCTGACAGGCTCCCTGGTGGATGTCACCCCGCAGGTCAATGCTCCTCCCTGAGGAACCTGGCCCATCCCACAGCTCCCACCAGGAAGGACACCAGAAGATGTGCCCAGCGCCCTGGACTTGACCCACACTCCCGCTCTGCCAGGGGCACCATCTCTTCCTGGGCTTGTGGGCCACCAGGCTCGGCCTCGTGCTGCAGCTTAGGGCCATGGAGCTGTCAGTCTAGTCAACGTGCACAGGTTGCAACGTCCCTGCCAGCCCACAGCCTCCTGGAGTCTCTCTGCTCTCTCTCCCCTGCTGCAGTGCCTTGGGGACATGTGTGGAAAGAGAGAACAGCAGGCAGAGGGGCCACAGGGACAGGAAGAGGAGCAACAGCTCTGGGTCTTAAGGCACAGAGATGTCCGCTCTGGCTGGTTTGGCAGCTGACAGCAGAGACCTTCATTAACACCATCTGACTGATGAAGGACTCGGATTCTGAATCAGTGATGAAAACAAATGCATAAAAGAAGCACATCATAGAGTGGGTTCCCCGTGGTCAAATGCCGTCCAAGAGGCACCTTGTCCCCCAAGATGGAGACAGCGCGAATTAAAGTGAAGTGGGGATGCAGAAACGGTTTGGTCTCATGGCACCAGGCTGCTATGGCTGTGGGCAAGGGTGTCCATTGCTCGAGCAGGCTGGTAAGGCGGGAAGCAGGCTGGTAGCCGTGGGAGCGTCCCTTGCTCTGGTCTGCACTCCTGGGAGACCCGCTGGTGTGCACAGGACAGGAGTGCAAGTCACCTGGCAGCCTCCCTGGATACGTGCTGGGTGCTGACCCTCGCCTGCCTCGCCACGCGGTGGGGGGGCAGCATGTCACAGAGGAGCCCACGGAGGAGCCCACGGAGGAGCCCAAGTGTGGGCGGCAGGAGGGACTGAGCCAGACAAAGGGATCGGAGTGGGGCTGAAGAGCCGTGTGGAGTGGAAGGAAGTCAAGTTGCGGTGGGCACCTGTGGAATAATACAGATCTGAAGGCTGAAACGCACAAAGCCACACTCCGTCTCGTGGCTGTGAACACCTCTGTTAACACTATGGGCCCTGGGAAGGACACCCACACAGCGGTTTCCTGTGCACACAGGGTGCCCCCGTGACACTGGCCCATGTGCCTAGGGCTAGGTGTGCCAAGGCGGGCGGTGGGCGTGGTGCTTGCTTTACTGTTGTCTATGCTTTTCTGTTGCTGAACTATTTTGCAATAAAAATACTATCTAGCAAGGTCAAAGGGTGTTATACGGACCATATCCTGCGACTGAGAAGAACTCGCGACAAGCAGAGAACGCTTCCTTCTGGAAATCCGAGGTGCTCTCCTGAGTGGATGGGCAAGTTAAGTGGAACCCAGACCCTCAGGAAATGAGCAAGATGCACTGAACCTCAGAGCCTGCGGGGTCTGGGTAACCAGTACTCAGAGAAAAACTCAGTCCTCAAAGATAAACAGTAGAAACCAAGCAAGATTGATAAAAACTAGATTTCAATTCAGAAAATTATACAAATTCCCCCAAAAGAAATGAACAAAAGGAACCTAACCAATTAAAAAGGAATAGGAAGCGTGCCAAATTGAAGCCCTTTAAAAAGGTCTATGAAAATACAGATGTTGGCAAATCTAAGAGAAGTAACAAAAATTAAATGTGTTGAAATAAAACAGCGGTATTTGACAGAAAAATCTTAATAATGAAATATTTAAATTGGTACAGGTTGTAGATAAAGAAAATTTTAAATTATGAGGAAAAATGTGTTGCTCAGCCAACACAACTAAAGTATAGATGAAAAGGATAAATTTATGGGAAAATATGACCACTGAAACTGAAGCAAGAAAGGGTGAAAAGATGAACACGCAGAGGGTCCCGGAGGAGCCTGAGCCGCGAGGGGCTGTCCCTGCGGCTTGGATACCAGCGTCGCACACTCGCAGACAAATCGCGGGGAGGCCCAGGAGAGTGCTCGGGTACACGCCAGCCAGGCACCTCACTCACAGTCAGGGTGCCGCTGCCAAAGGTGTTTGAGCGGGGGCAACCCACATCTAGGCGGGAGAGGAAGCCCTGGGCCTCTGCCTCCCCCGCAGGAAGATGCAGTGAAGTCCTTGTAAGGTCAGACACCAGCAAGCCGGCAGGTCCCCGCTGCTTCCTACCTCGCGTGCCTTTCCTGCCCGCCGCTGGGGCACGGAGTCCAGGCACCGTGCGGAGTGGAAGTGGGAAGTGATTGCATCTTTGTCCATTCCTGATCGCCGAGCAAGAGCCGTCGCCTTTACTCCACTGAGTACGACCCCAGCGGCAGTCTTGTTGCATACGGGGGTTTTTGAGAATTTTTGGTGATCATATGGGTCTGTCCTTCGGTTCGTTAATATGGTGTAACATATTTATTGATCTCTATATGCTGAATCACCCTTGCACGGCAGGAATAAATCTTCCTTGATCATGGTGAATGACCTATTTTATACGTGATTACATTCAGGTTGTTAGTATTTTGTTGAGAATTTTTGCATCTATATTCATGAGGAATAGCGGCATACAATTTTCTTTTCTCGTAAAGGTTCCACCAAAAAACGATTGAGCTGGGGGCATGGCTCAGTGCTAAAGCATTTGCCTGGCGTGCTTAAGGCTCTGGATTCAACCTCCACTCCCACCAAACAAACAAACAGAGCCTGTTAGCACTGATAAACATATCCAAAGAAGTGGCAGATTACAAAATCAACTACAGATATCAGTAGCATTTCTGTACATTAGCAGCAAACTATCCAAAGAAGAAATTAAGAGAACAATCCTGATTACAATAGCATAAAAATACTTAACCAAGTGAGTATTTAACCAATAAATTTAACCAAGGAAATAAAAGACTGTACATTGAAAACTGTAAAATATTGATAAAGTTGAGAAAGACACAAATTAATAGATAAATGTCCCATGTTCATGAATTGGAAGAGTTAATATCATTAAAATGCCTATGCTACCCAAAGGGATCTACAGATTCAATGTGAACCCTATGCATTTCACTCATATTTTTCAAAAAATAAGAAAAAAGAAAAAGAAAAACTGTACTAAAATTCAACTGGAATTATGAAAGTTCCTGAATAGCCTGTGCCCTATGAATAGCCTGTGAAAAGAACAAAGTATCATGTTCACTGATTTCAAAATATATTACAAAACTGTGGTCATCAAGACAGCATCATACAGGCTTTGAAACCGGCTCATTCACCAATAACACAGAATAGGAATCCCAGAAATAAGCCCTGGTAGTTACTGCGAATTGATTTCCGACAAAGGCGCTGAGAATACACAACAGGGAAATAGTTGTCTCATCAACACGTGGTGTTGGGAAAACTGTGTATCCACATGCAGAACATAAACTTGAACCCTTCCCTCACAACATTACAAAAAAATAAGCAAACGTGGGTTTAGGCCCCCAGTGCAGGACTGAAAACTCTAGAACCGCTGGAGGAAAGCAGGGAGGACACTCCACGACGGTCTGGGCAGTAATTTCCTAGGCCTCCAAAAAGGCAGGTAACAACAACAAAGATAGGCCAATGGGATGACGCTGAAGTCCCTCCCAACGGGCCACCCGGGCAGGGAGGCCTGAGGCTGAAGTCACCTGAGGCTCTGGACAGCGGGAAGGGCCGGTGTGCCCCACCTGCAGCAGCGAGTCGCAGAGACCCTCAGGGTGGGTCCCAAGTCCACGCGGCAGACAGCCTCGGCCCCACTGCAGTGACCCCGAATTCACACACTCTGAGCAGCCTTGTCCTCCACCAGCACCCACACCCCCACGTGTCTCTTGTGGTGTGCCTCAAATCTCCAACCCCGTCCAGGAGGCCCTCTGTCCCGTCTTCCGCCAACAGTGACTGTCTCTGTGTGAAATGGGCGTGAACACCATGCTTTACTCGCTTGCTTGCACTTCGCGCTCTTGCGAAGATCTCCAGGTGTAAAACTCAGGTGCCTCTCTCCTGTTAGTCAGCTCTTGTACTAATCTGACTCCCAGATCGAGCACAGGGCCTTGCAGGGAGCTAATGGGGCCCAGGGCAACCTCTCTTCCCGATGGAGGCAACTAAAAAGCTGCTGCACAGTAAAGGAAACCATGAACAGAGCAGGAAGACAGTCTACAGACGGGGAGGAAATATTTATAAATCATACACCCAGTGAGAGGCTAACATCAGGACACTGGAGGAGCTGGAACGATTCAAGAGTAACAGGTCCTCTGAGTAAAACCTGGGAAGGCTACCTGAATAATCGTCGCTTAGAGGACCTAGGAATGGCCAATGGGTATGTGGAAAAGTCCTCACTAATCCTCAGGGACATGTGAGTCCAAACCCTGTGAGTCATCACCTGACATCTGTTAGCATGGCTGCTGTCAGTCTCGAAAGGTGACAGGTATCACGTGGCAAGGACGCAGGGAAGAGGGAGCCCTGGTACAGAGTCGGTAGGGATGTACTCGAGAGCAGTCACCTTGCAGAATGTTGCGGCGGGTCATAAAAACTAAAAGCAGAACTAGCGTTTGAGCTCATGGACCCAGCTCTGGGAATTCTGCTCTAACTGGATCTCCAGTGTTCCCAAGGCCCGGGGACCCAGCCTGCTGGAAGGAGGTGGCATGTTAAAGAGGGGCCCGCTAGAGGTGGGCATGTCCTGAAAGGAGACGCTGGTCTTGGGCTCCTTCCTCTCCTTGATTTCTGCTGTGATGAGGAGAGGGGGTTTGCTCTGCCGCTGCCCACTAGGATGAGGTCCCCA